TATCCAAACAATGGGATTGCCATTGTTTTTACCAAGAAACAGACTATATGCAATCAAACAATGGGACTGCCATTGTTCTCTCATGAAATAGCCTAGAGTGGTTGTAACATAGCACATGGAGGCTTAAAATGAGAGCATTTAAACATGGTCCTCCCTTAAAACAGTCATAACATCTTGATTGCTGTCAGTCATTAGCAACAGCAACCAAAATGTGCAAACAACAACATTCTAAAACAACAACATATCTCAAGTGAGATAAAGAAAACAAACAATTAAGAGGTTCAAAACAGTGAACTGTATGAGCCCTTTTAACAAGATTAAAACAGCAAAACAAAATTCTAAGATGAAAGCAATTGCAAATACCAGAAAGGGACTGCATGAAACCGAAAAACAGTAATAGAAAGCCATCACATAGGCAAGCCTATGGCTATGCTCATGATATTCTAAAAAAGAATAGAACAGCAAAACCAAGGTAACAAGTAACCATAAAAACGACAAATTTTGAAGTTTAAATCCAAAAACAACAAAGATTCATGTTAAAACAACAAATGAAAGAGTTTTTATAAAAAATAACACAGCAAATTAAAAACTAAACTAATAGATTCCGTTTTGGCAAACAGAAGTGAAATAGCTACTAATCAAAACAGCAAATCAAGATAGAAAATTCTTAAAACAACAAATATTAAAACAACAAACTAGTCCTAAAAATAGCAAATTAAAAACAATAACTAATTATTTAAAACAACAAAAAACAAACAATATACAACAAAGGACCAAATATCAGATGATTATGCAGAAGAACAAATCAAACTAGTAAGGGCTTTAGATGCTATTGCTAAAACAGAGGAAACAACATATTTTAAACACAAAACACATGTATTAGACCTTTAAAACAGCAAAATAGACAGTTACTGCATGAAGCAGTTAAAAACAACAACCTTCAATAGAACCTACAAACTATCCACTCTAAACAGCAACTAAAAGTATGCCAAAATAGCAAAACATCAAAACAAAAGGATCAATCTACCTAAAAGCATGCATAACTAAACATCAAAATATTAAAAGGGCTAGAAGGTAAAACCTATCCTACTCAGACTGAGTAGGAGAGTTTGACTGCTTAGCAAGATGGACTTTGGTGGAAGTAGGAGTTTGATTGCACTCTGTGATTTCCCATGCTTGGAAGTAGCTCTAAGTATCCTCTCCTTCTGCATCTTGTACTTAGCCCACTGTACTCTCTCCTTCTTCAAGATGTTTACCTCCTTCTTCAACTCATCCACTCTCTTCATCATCTTGTGGTGTTTCTTTACAATGGTTCTCTTCAAGGCATTGGTGTGATCCTCTAATGCCTTCATCAAGTCAGCCTTTAGAGATGCCAGGGAAGAAGTGGTTGTTTCTGGCTGTGTCTTGGCATTAACTCTCAACAGTCTGTCTAAATTCTTCTTATTTATGGATGTGTTCTCCATAGACATCAAATCAATGGGCAAGGCCAGAACATGGGCTTTTTGCATTAACTTATGGATCAAGGAAGGATAGAGTAGCTTGCCATTGGTCCTTTCTACACATACTTTGATGTTGGAGCATATCATCCTTCCAACATCAAATGGCCTTGCCTCTAAGATACAGTAGAGGATTAGGACTCTCTTTAGGCAAAGATTTGTGTCATGGCTAGTAGAGTAAAGGGTATGCCTCATTAAGTAAAACCATAAATTGGCTTTAGGCTTCAAATACTGGGTTTTCAAAAGCCTAGCCCTACCCTTGAAGCTCCATACAACCCCCTCCTTGGCTACCCTAGCTAAAATTTCATCATATTCTTCATCAGTGCACCCAGCTGTCAACCTATCTCGCTCAGAGTATGAAGGTGGTATAAGCTCTAATAGGTTGTTTATGGCATTTGGTGAGTAGGAAACAGGGGTCTTCCTTACTCTCAAGTCTACCCCATCAGTGACAGCCACCTCAGTATAAAATTCCCTAATCCAACTTATGTTGTATTGATTAGGTACCTCACATAAAATCTCCCAACCCAAAGAGTCTATTGTGGCCTTAATGGAAGGATTGGCCAACAATAACTGTTGTGAAAAATCCTTAGGCATAACTCCTACTTTCTCAGAAAATTGCAAGAATGTTTTTCTTGCTAATGGTGTGCTAAATAAGTGCTTGGGTTTCAAATAGATACCTGGCCCATCCTCAAATTACTGTCTTGGCCCCTTTCTTCTTTTTGCTGCCCTTTCCTCATCCTCTGAGTCCTCACTGTCTTCTCTCCTTCTCTTTGAACTTCTAGTTTCAACTCTGCCCATTCTCTTCTTCCTTGCCACCTTCTTTCTCAAACTTGCACCAGTATCAACTTCCTCCCTTTCTTGCTCAACATGGAGGCTGTTATGCTCAGGGCTATGGTGAGAAAATGTGTCCCCTTATAATAGTCATGGGTCCCAGAGTGGATAGGGGTAGTGGGTTGGTTTGGACTAGGGATGTATGGTTGAGTGGAGTGGGGTGAGGGTGGTGGTGTTTTAGTGACAGGGGTATTTTGTGGGCCAGAAGGGTTTTCATTGTGTTCAAAGGGTGTTAGGCTGGGATTAGTGGGTGAGAGACCTAAGACAAAGTCTAATTCTTGGATGGAAACAGTAGGTGGCAAAGGAATAATAGGTTCAGTGGGTGCAGATTTAGTGACTATGGGTTGAATTGCTGAATGCATTGGGCTGGTGGTAACTGTTACAACAGGGGATGGTCTAGAAAATGTTTGGGATGTGGTGAGATGGTCAAATATGGTAGGTTCAATAGTGGTAGATGAAATGGGAATGGATCCAAAGTGAGGTGCTCCTATGAAATTTAGTTCAATAGGTATGTCTCTAGTGATGGTGGGTGCATGGGTGGTGGTAATAGGTTATTGGGCAGGGGATGGATCACACTCTGGTTCTTCCCTAATCATCCTGTCCATGGCTGCCAAAGCTGCACTAACAGAGTGCTTAAGGGATGAATTTCCCTTTTTTTGTGCTTGTGCAGCCATAGGAGGCTGAATGTGGACCATGGATATAGTAGGGGCACAAGTTGCTGACCTTAGCCCCAAAACTTTATTAGAGGTAGCAATGGCCTCATCCACAAATTTCCTCAACATAAAGCCTACACTGGCTTGAGGATATACAAGAAAACTAGACAGTAAATCCATAGTTAAAGGTCTGGTGATTTTCAAACCTGATTGAAGCCTTTCTGTAATGCTTGGAGGTATGCTTGGAGTGATTATTTGGGTTGCTGCATCTGCCAAAATATTCAAAGAGGTTGAATCCTCTTATGTTGGTTTGCTTGCATTTGTTTGAGTAGCAGGCCTCTCATTTGGTGAATCACTATCATCTGATAGGTTGATCACAATGCCCTTCTTCTGCTTAATGGGCTTGAAATTGGCCAACCCTTTTGCTCTGCTTCTGGTCACTCTGGGGGTAGCTTGGTATTGTGGAGGTGGTTGTGGTTCAGTCTTCACAATTGTTTGAGCTTGAGTTTGAGGAGGTGGTTGGGGTTTGGATTTGGCAAATGGAACCTGCCTCAAGGGAATGACATCAATGGTTCTTCTTCACTCTCACTAGAGTGATCATGACTGTTTACAAGGGGCACGAAATCTGACTCTCCCTCTCTTCTTCTTGGCCAGGACTTGAGAATGGCCATACAGAGGGAACAGGGGAATGGTAATGATTTTGGGAGCAAAAGAAATCAATGATAGTGAACAGTGGTTTGGAACAAAACCGAATGGTGTATGAACAGTAGTTAGGGGTTTTTAAAGCCTCTAAACTTCGTCTCCAAGATTTTGGTTTCGAAAATTTCAAACTTTTCCCTGATCAATGACAGTTATCGAGTGATGATAAGGATTAGTCAGAAATGGTACCTTTCTTAACAATGCCAGTTCAATGCGGTCCTTTCCTTCTCGAAAATGGTTGTTTGATGAGCTATGGCTGACTGTTCCTGGTATGATGGACAAGAGAATACGATGATGGTGTTGGTGAGTTGAGAGTTTGGAGATGAAAGGACGGTCACCGGTCGTGGTCTGGTACGAATACGCGGGATCTTGACAGGCCATACCAAACAGGCTTCGAATTTTGGTCCCTTTCTCCACAGGCCTTGTGACTTGGGCTGTTCTAGACGCGGTCTTCTCTTTTGGGCTTCTTCATTCACGGCCTGCTAACAATAAAACAAAATGGCCACCAATTTCTTTTAGCCGGGCTTGGTTAATCAAGAGATTGGGCCGGCTGTTGAAAGCAAATCCCGGCCCAAAGATAATTAAGATAAAATCCAAACCTTTTAATATAAACCTAATATAAAAGAAATAATTATTCTAAGAAAAGAAAATAAACTAATGTTTTATCTAAAAATTTAAAATGCAAAATAAAAATAAACATATAAAGAATAATATTTACAATGATTTATTATTTTGAAAAAATAACCTCAATAGGTTGCGTAAAAACCATTGAATCAAAGAAAGGTTTTACCCGTTGCCCATTTACTTTGAAAGTGGTACCCCTATCCGGATCTATTAAGTCAATTACTCCATAGGGGTATACTTTGGCAACAACGAAAGGTCCGGTCCATCTGGAATTCAGTTTTTCAGGAAATTACTTTAACCTTGAATTGAAGAACATGACTTTTTGGCCTTCTGTGAATTCTTTTGGAAGAATCTTTTTATCATGCCATTTTTTGGTATTTTTTTTGTATAGCTTAGCATTTTCATAGGAAAAATTCCTATGCTCTTCCAATTCACAAAGTTGCAAAGTCCTTTTTCTTCCGGCCTCATCTAAACTCATGTTGAGTTCCTTAATGGCCCAGTAGGCTTCGTGCTCTAATTTCACAGGTAAATGACAAGCTTTTCCAAAGACCAAATTATAGGGAGACATACCAATAGGGGTTTTGTAAGCAGTCTGGTAGGCCCATAAAGCGTCATCTAACTTAGAGGCCTAATCCTTTCTATATGGCTTGACTACTTTGGCCAAAATCCCTTTTATCTCCCTATTTGACAATTCAGCTTATCCGTTGTTCTGAGGATGGTAGGCAGTTGCTACCCTATGCTTGATGTCATACTTATCAAGAACTTCTTTTAACATGTTGTTTATGAAGTGAGTGCCTTCATCACTAATTAAGGCACGAGGTGTACCAAATCTACTGAATATGTGCTTTTGTAAAAACTTAGCAACTGTTTTAGCATCATTGGAATGGCAAGCCATGGCTTCCACCCATTTGGACACATCCACATCTACCAATATGTAGGCACAATTATTGGATAGAGGAAAAGGTCCCATAAAGTCTATACCCCAAACATCAAATAATTCTATTTCTAGGATTCCGTTTAAAGGCATTTCATTTCTTCTAGAGATATTTCCACTCCTCAGACACTCATTGCAACTTTTTACAAAGTTTTGAGCATCATTGTGCAAAGTAGGCCAGTAGAATCCTGATTGTAAAACCTTGGATGCTGTAGAACTTATGTCACTTCTTCTTTTGGGATGCATCTTCTAATCACCTGATCCGCACAAATTTTAAACAAGAAAGGGTCATCCCATAAATATTTCTTTGAATCATAGATGAGCTTCTTTCTTTGATACTTATTAAATTCCTTGGGAATAATCCCACAAGCTAAGTAATTAACAAGATCAGCAAACCAAGGCACTGTAGTATGATTAAGAACCAAAATTCTTTCATATTGAAAATACTTCACAGATGTCACTACTTTGCACTAGTTTGTCTTGTTTTTCCAATCTTCACAGATGGTCGACCACTTGATTATCCACCCCTTTTCTATCATTGATCTCCAAATCAAACTCTTGCAAAAGCAAGACCCACCTTATTAACCTAGGCTTTGCATATTTTATAGAAATAAGGTACTTGATGGCAGCATGATCAGTATGAACAATTACTTTGGTTCCCATCAAGTATGATCTGAATTTTTCAAAAGCAAAGATCACAGCTAGTAATTCCTTTTCAGTAGTGGTGTAATTGATTTGAGCATCATTAAGAGTCTTGCTTGCATCATAAACAGTATGAAAAATCTTTTCTCTCTTTTGACCTAACACTGCTCCAACTGCCCAGTCACTAGCATCACTCATTATTTCAAAGGGTTTGGACCAATCAGGTGTTATTACCACATGAGCAGTGACCAATGCTTCTTTTAAAATGTTGAAAGCTTTTCTAGAATCTTCGTTAAAATTGAAAACATGGTCATGCTGTAATAATAAACAAAGAGGTTTTGATATTTTTGAAAAACCTTTAATGAACCTCCTATAAAAACCTTCATGTCCTAAAAAACTTCTGATTTCCTTTACAATTGTTGGTTCTAACAACTTCTCAATTACCTCTAACTTTGCTTTATCAACTTCAATGCCTCTTTTGGAAATTAAATRYCCTARCACTATGCCTTCTTTTACCATAAAGTGACACTTTTCCCAATTCAAAACCAAATCTGTTTTTTCACATCTTTTAAAACTTTTTTCAAGGTTTTGCAAACACATGTCATATGATGTCCCATATACCGAAAAATCATCCATGAAAATTTCCATGGAGTGTTCTAACATATCAGAGAAAATTGACATCATACACCTCTGGAAAGTGGCAGGTGCATTACAAAGTCCAAAAGGCATTCTTCTAAATGCAAAAGTTCCGTATGGACATGTGAAAGTAGTCTTTTCCTGGTCATCTGGTGCTATGGAAATCTGATTGTAACCGGAGTAGCCATCTAAGAAACAATAAAACTCTTTTCCTGCTAGTCTGTCTAACATTTGGTCTATGAAGGGTAATGGAAAATGGTCTTTTTGAGTGGCTTTATTAAGCCTTCTGTARTCCATACATATCCTCCAACCAGTTACTATTCTAGTAGGTATAAGTTCATTCTTCTCATTTGGTACAACAGTGACTCCTCCCTTTTTGGGTACACATTGCACAAGACTGACACAGGTACTACTAGCAATAGGATAAATTATGCCAGCGTCAAGCCATTTTAAAATTTCCTTTTTGACAACCTCCTTCATAACACGATTTACCCTTCTTTGAGGCTCAACGAAGGTGAAGCTTTTGTCTTCTAAAATAATTTTATGTTGACAAATGGTGGGACTTATCCCTTTGTGGTCAGCAATGGTCCATCCTATGGCCTTGGTATGAAGTTTCAACATGTCAACCAACTTTTCTTCTTGGTCAGCTTCTAATGATGATGAGATAATGACTGGCAACTTCTTTAAATCTCCTAAAAAACATACTTCAAATGTGAGGGAGTTGTTATAACTCTAAATCTGGGGCAACATCGAAGGAAGGAACAAGAATCTTCCTATCCTCAGTTTCTAAAACTTCAAAAGCAACAGATTCTTGTGGTGTTTCTAATTTCTCAAAATCTTCCTCTCCATCACTATCAGACTTAGATAAACCTAAGATCTCCCCAAACTTTTCTCTTGACACCATGACTCTATCAGACTTAAAGTAGAACACTCTTCTCTTTCCTCAGGGTACCTAAAGGAATTAAGAACATTAAAAGTCACTTGTTGGTCTTGGACTCTCATGGTTAATTCTCCCTTCTGTACATCTATCARKGTTYTDCYAGTAGCTAGGAAAGGTCTCCCTAAAATGATGGGAATGTCTTTGTCGGCTTCAAAGTCTAGGATGATAAAATCAGCTGGGAAAATAAACTTATCAACCTGAACTAAGATATCCTCAATCTCTCCTCTGGGATATGCTATGGACTTATCAGCTAACTGTAGAGTTACAGTTGTAGGTCTAGCTTCACCTATGCCTAGGGTATTGAAAACAGATAAAGGCATTAGGTTTATACTAGCACCTAAGTCACATAGAGCTTTTCCTATCTCTTTTCCTCCAATTGAACAAGGGATTGTAAAACTTCCAGGATCTTTCATCTTAGGAGGGATGTTACTGGACAACAAAGCACTACACCCTTCAGTCAGAGCTACAGTCTCATATTCAGTTAACTTTTTCTTTTTACTCAAAATTTCTTTTAGAAACTTTGCATAACTTGGCATCTGCTCAATAGCTTCAACCAAGGGTATGTTTATGTGCAACTGTTTAAAAACATCAAGAAACTTTTTAAATTGTAATTCTTCCTTTTGATTCCTTAATCTTTGGGGATAAGGAATATAAGGAGTGACTGCAATAGGAGAAGTAGTCTTTTGAAGAGTTGGTGTTGGAATGGGTTTCAAAACTGGTCTTACAATTGGTTCTGATTCAGTTCTATCAAGGATTATAGGACTGGTCTGGTCATTTATTGCGGGACTGTCACCAGGTCGTGACACATCCACTACAACACTTTCTTTGGGAGTCTGGATTTTCTTGGGTTCATTAGGAAATAACAATGGGAATTCTGATTTTTCTGAAATGGCTGTACTATCTATGGGCCTGATTAAATGTTGAGGCTCACTAGTACTCTCTGATTGGTTCACAGGAACGGTAGTTACAAAATCTGGTATAGAGGTAAAAGAATCTTGTACTACACTTTTCTTTTCAATCTTTGCTTTGTTTGGTTCTTTTTGTTCTTTTTGGGTATTTTCTAAATAACTCTTTCCACTCCTTAAAGTAATAACCTTAACATGCTCTTTCCCTTCCCTCTGAGGTATCTTTGTATCACTAGGTAGAGAACCTATTTGTCTTTTTCTTATCTCCAAAGCCATTTGTCCCATTTGAGTTTCAAGATTTTTAATTGACGCTTGAGTTTGGGTTATAAAACTCTTCATCATTGCTTCCAAAGAAGTAGATGATTCAGCTTGCTGTTTGGGCTTGCTTTGGAAAGAAGATTGATGAATTTGTGGTTGAAAATTAGCATACTGATTATTATGAGTGCTTTGATGCGCTTGTGAGTGAAAGTTATATTGGCCTTGATGTTGAAAATTGGACTGTCCTTGAGGCTTTTGCATTGGTGGATTAAGAGCTGGACTATGCCATGAAAAATTTGGATGATTTCGCCATCCAGGATTATAAGTCTGCGAAAATGGTCCAGTATTGTTGACAAAATTTACATGCTCAGGATTTCCAAGACAATGCTCAAAAGAGTGACCTTCACCATAGTACACGCATTGCACAAATTGAACATTTGAATTAAAGGTATTAGCATCAGATTGCACATGTGGGCTAGATGTTAGATTTGAAATTAGCTTAGTGATCTGAGCTGTTAATGCTGAGACAACATCTACCTCATTTATTCCGGCTGTTTTCTTTAGTGGCATTGTACGTAGGTCAGACCATTGTCCGTTAATGTTAGAAATCTTTTCAAGTATGTCAAAACCTTCATTATAGGTACAAGCAGTGAAAGCTCCGCCTGCAGTAACATCAAGCATTTGTCTATCAACGACATTTAAGCCATTGTAAAATGTCTCTAGCTGTATACAGTACAGAATGCCATGGTGAGGGCATTTTCTCAACAGCTCTTTATATCTTTCCCATGCATCAGGAACTGCTTCATCATCCAGTTGTTAAAAGTACAGATTTAATTCCTGGATTTAGCATTCCTCGTGGGTGGAAAATATTTTTTAAAAAAATTTTCTGCCATTTCACTCCATGTAGTCACAGAGTCTAGTTGCCAAGAATTGTACCATGCTCTTGCTCGATTCCTTAGTGAAAATGGAAAAAGTTTTAGTCTCAGAGCATCGTCTGAAACATCATGGATGAGAAAAGAGTCTGCGATTTCCATAAAAGAACGCATATGAGAATGAGGATCTTTAGAAGATAAACCAGCGTACTGGCCGTTTGTTTGAAGCATTTGAAACATCAGAGGTTTAAATGAAAAATAGGTGGCACCAATGGTAGGCTTACGTATTCCTGTGTGCAGTTGAGTTAAGTTAGGAATAACATATGCCATGATGCCACCATTTTTACCATTTGCAAGACAAAAGATGTTTTGAGCCTCATCCTCAGGTGGAATATTTGGTTCATTTCTAATAATACCTTCTCCGTCAATAATCACGTTTTCATCCATTGGTTCAGAGATTAAAGCTCGAAGAGCTCTTTGCACTCTTCTTCGTCGTCTGAAAGTTTGTTCAATATTCGGATCAAGTCGAAAAAATTCACCGTGCGACAGCCTTGGCATGCACAGTGCGTTCAAAAAGATGGTAGAAAAACTAACCTTTATAAACTTCACTTTAAAAAGAAAAACTTTAGCATTTGCAAGATGAAAGATGTTTGAGCCTCATCCTCAGGTGGAATATTTGGTTCATTTCTAATAATACATTCTCCGTCAATAATCACATTTTCAGCCATTGATTCAGAGATTAAAGCTCGAAGAGCTCTTTGCACTCTTCTTCGTTGTCTGAAAATTTGTTCAATATTCGGATCAAATCGAAAAAATCCACCGTACGACAGCCTTGGCATGCACAGTGCGTTCAAAAAGATGGTAGAAAAACTAACCTTTATAAATTTCACTTTAAAAAGAAAAACTTCAGCGTGCTATCCCCGACAACGGCGCCAAAAACTTGCTCGTTGGTTTATTCAACTTTAGATTTCAACACAAAAATAGAACTCGACA